AATAGCTAAAATTGCTTAAGTGGTTCCGAATATTTGAAAAAGTTAAATGTCATCGAAAATTGAATATTCGCGTCGCGTTGCCAAATCGCGTCCGGTCTGTATGGGGGCCTTTACTGAAGGAAACTTAAACTATAAACTATTTTAAACTGTTCCCCGTAGAGGCTATCATCATTTTGGCTTTGCCATGCAGCATGTCCTGACATCCAGTATGTCATCCCTCAAACATGCATGCTAGGACATAAAAACTGTGTTATTTATAATGCACACTCAATCCATCCGGGCAAATGTCGGCCAGCTAACTCAACCGTCCACAAGAGGGAAACTAGCACAAAAATGCAAAGCTATCTGTGCGTTTCATTTCCTGCCATATCGAATCGTGACGTTAAACCTATGCAAAATTCCTACTGTGATCACAGAAACTTTGATAGTCTAAACCAGCCTTAAGGATTAAAAATATCAGGATAGGAAATTATTTTATGTAAAATGTTGTTAATGTAGGATTTTACTACATCGCGGGCGTTCTTTGTCAGTGCCCGCGATCACAATTAGGATTATCAGCGGTTGAGTTCGCAACTCAATATTCAAACAGATAAAAGTCATAAAACAGATTATTAAAACTTTTTTAAAGTCCTTTAGATTTTATACCGATCCCAAACCCTAAACAAACATGAAATAATTAAATAAATCTGGTATTTCCAAGCACCCATGTATTTTTCTGTTTATTATATAAACAAAATTCAGTGAAAAACAATAAAACGTCCGTGGCAATGCGTTTTACAACAAATGATATTTTCACACGTAAAAATATCGTATTTTTTACGTGTGTTTAAATACGATTTTTCTCAGTGGCCAAAAACTCTATATAACACTTATGTTTATATAATAAAATGGAATACTTACCTAGGCTAGGAGTGGATACTACAGTTTTTCACGTGTGCTTATATAATCCAATTCTATTAATGAATTTGTTATAGCATGCAGTGCTGACTCTCAGAAACGGGTGAAATTTTATTTTTAAGAGAATTTTTGGGAGATCAAAATGCCTAAAATAAACCCACTTTCTTGGCTCAAAAGTTTGGCTGCAAATTAGAACGCCAGACCCTAATTCCGCCGGTAAAATCGATTAACCCGAATTAATTGTAATTAGCATTTTTAACGATAGCGGCGCCACGCAACAATATCTAACAGTTAAGTATTCCTAAGCACCCCATTGAGACGATGATTGCCTGTGTGCTGAGACGGAATTGCTTGGAGCACGTCTCTAGTTGAAAAATTCATAAACAGTATTTTGCATATGAGTGGTAAGCGAGTGCTGGAAAAGAAACAATACACTGACTCACAGCATTTGCATTGCATTCTACAGGGTGTCTAAAAAAACGCTATGGAAATTCAACAGGCTGTCGTGCATCATAATGTGGCTAAACAATTCAAATTTTTACATAGGACGAAAGAACAGTTATTTAGCTTTTCAATGATACTCTTTTTAAATCGTAACGATGAGAATTGGCCACATACTCGTCAAATAAAAATTGCCGGTCGAAATCATATTCTTCCACCGTTGGGAATTGCATGGAAAACGAAACTTAAACAATTCCCAATTAAATTATCTAAAATAAGCTCAACTCGTCAATCTTCGTCTTAGTGAGACCATAACATGGTCATGAACATGGTTCAATTAACCCCTGAACAGAGAACATTCGTAATCAAAACGTTTTACGAAACAAGTACCTTGCAGCACACTCGCGGTGCTTTTAGATTACTGACTCATAATTAATGTATTTTTCAATTCCCAACTGTGGAAGAATGCGATTTCGACCGAACATTTTTATTTGATGAGTATATGGCCATTTCTCATCGTTGCGGTTTAGGAAATATATCATAGAAAAGTTAAATAACAGCTCTTTCGTCCGATGTAAAAATTGAATTGTTTAGTTAAGTTTGTGATGCACAACAGCCTGTTGAATTTCCATAGCGTTTTTTTTTAGACACCCTGTATTGAAATGAATAATGATTTTCTGCAACAGTGCATGTTTCACAAACACACAAAGTTCAGGAATGTTTTGTGGAACAGTAGTCTGTTTGTCTGTGTGAATGCGTTGAACGATTTGTTATGTTGCAATCGCAAATTTCTGAAAGTTTTGTTTGGAATATTTTTCAGAAAATCTGAACTAAACTGAATTCACATCGAATACCCGTCTATCTGTTTTAGATTATTTTGCTTAGAGGTTCAGTAGGGATCACCGCTCCGCGAATTTTCAGTTTTTAAAAACAAATAAAATCGTCAACGGATCAAAATTTTACAAGATATGCAAACCAAATAGCTAAAATTGCTTAAGTGGTTCCGAATATTTGAAAAAGTTAAATGTCATCGAAAATTGAATATTCGGGTCGCGTTGCCAAATCGCGTCCGGTCTGTATGGGGGCCTTTACTGAAGGAAACTTAAACTATAAACTATTTTAAACTGTTCCCCGTAGAGGCTATCGTCATTTTGGCTTTGCCAGCATGTCCTGACCATAGATATCTTATATACACTAGATAGTGCATCTAATTATTCTGCAATTCAAAAATTGAAGCCGTGATTGCAGTCTCAGGTCGTTCCCATGAAATGAGAAGATTCGTATGTTTTCTATTTCTTAAACTGGGAACTTATACATCAAGTTAACCCT